ACCACTAAAGCAAATAAATCATGGTTGAATATTAATACTAGATTAATATAATATTATTTTGAAATATTTTTACAAATACATTGGTAAACCAATAGTGTGACATGGTTAAAGATTTACATGAATGCCTTGCATCAAATTCATCAAAACACTCACAGAAAATCTGGAACTGTGACTGGTCAGAATTCTCACAACGCAAAGTAAGATACACTGTGTTTGGTTAAAGGCTCATTTGCATATTGCAGCTTTCTGCAATATCACTGCTATAAAGATTAATTTCACCATAACAGCTACATATAGTGCTGCACTGTACTGAATCAATGATGCGCAAAGGAAAAAGCAGCCTATAAGGTATCCCAAAACGTTCCCTTTAATATTTCACTGTCATAATTGATGACTTTCAAACTTCCAAGCCCCCAACAAGGAACTGCTGTAACAGCATGTAAAACAAGACTTGTCTGTCAAGCCTAAAATCACTGACATAAACTGTTACACCTACACTAACTGCAGTGTTGGAAGCTCAGCAGTAAGACAATAACAAATGTGCATTGAATATTCAATGTGACAGGCTTAGAAAGAGCTCTGTATTTTACTCTGTTTAGTATTATTCTTCTGACAAATCCTGAGCAAGGTCACCTCTAGTTTTGTGCAGATATGACTCAGGAGGGAGAGCTAAGGTCAGTGAGTGATTATCGAGAGACTACAGCTGGGATTGCCAACACCTGTCTGCGGAGCAGCTAGCGGCCCTGATCATGATGGATCTGCCGGGGAGGAACTCTCTTTAGAGTGGGAAATGGGGGAATCCACAGGGGGCAGAATGACTCACTTGCAGGCAGCTTGCTTCCCTCAGAGCTGTGAGGCACCTGGTGGGTCAATATTGGAAATAATGTGGCTTTGAGCTCATTAAATATGATGTGCAAATGTTGTAGTGATCATTCTAAAGTCCTGGTAACAGCAGCACAGTAAGAGCGGGCGATAGGGCAAACATATAACATCATGACGATGACTGAAGACAGTTTACAGTACATGATACAACTGGCGATATTTTTGCGTAAAACCCTTACATAAAAACAACACAATTCATTTATTTAATTTCGCCATGTTTTCAGTCAAACAAACATGCTACTTTTTCATTGTATGTGTATTTATCATTGGCAAAATACATCATTAAAGAACAAAGCCAAGTAATGGAAAAAAATATATTAATAAAATAATTAATAATGGGTACCCACACTGTAAAAAATTCTAATTTGACATTTCAAATTTAAAGTCAATCTTATGCATAGTTGCTTTTTTAATTCTTAAATTCTTTAATTCTTAACTTTGTTTAGTCAAAGGTTCTCCTAATTGACACTGTATCTAAGTTAGGTCTACAAATTACAGTTTTAATTGAGCTTACTTGTCTAAAGGCAGTTGTCTCCTTATATGCTGAAATTGCTAAGCAACTAGAAGCCAATCGTGTTTTTTTTAAGCTGCAGTACTTAAATGTTTTTTAAAGGTTTAACTCTGAACTAAACTAAGTTGAGAACTGAAAAAATGCTGTGCATTTACACATTCCAACCTAAAATTTATTTTAGATTGATTATTTTTTTTTACAGTTTGATTAATTTTCCAGCTGATATTAGCAGAAAATGCTGGATTGGATATCAGGGGGCAAAAGAAAAATGAATCCAGTCCAGTCCTCTAAACTAGGTTGAAAAAATTTAAAAAGCTATGAAGAAAACTGACTTAAAATTTTAAGTTGACCTGACATTCTTTTCTTTTACAGTGTATGAATTACAATACAGTTTACATGCTGTCTAAGATTGGTCTTAATCTGTCTTTGTTATGAGTTTATGAATATCTATTTTATGATTTCCAGCCTGATATCAGCAGAAAATGCTAGTTGGATAGTGCAGGGAAAAACAGCAAGAACCTCGTCCAATTCTTTAAACTAAAAAATGATACAACTTTTTAACTTAAAAGTAAAAATAACTGACAAAATTTTGAACAAAGGTTTGTCGAACAGGTTAACTGTCCCTTTTTTGTTAAAGTTAAAATCAAAATGACTATATTACTAGGCAGTTTGCAGGCCGCCTATAATGGTCTAATCTGTTTATGAGTTTATGAAAATATTTATGATTTTCAGCAGATATCAGTCCAATAACAGCAGAAAAAGAATGAACTCAATCCAAATCTACCCTGAAATAGCATGAACTCACAGTGTAAGATGTGACGTTGTTAGCTGTGTATTTCGTCCTGTAGGGTAGCAGTGTTTGAGTGGTTTGAACACGATAGCCTAATTTTAGATGCTCATCTTCAGTGTTTCAAATAACAGCTTATTTTAAAGCTCAGTGGTCTTTAACCTTATCTAGATCACTGTACTGGTAACGGTGGTGGTACTGGTTTTAACCATAATTCTTTATGCAATATACTACTAGAAAGCTCATTTGACTTTATGATCCGTTATTCTCAGCAGCAACTTTAGTCTCATTTGCAACATAAACATTGAATGAGCAAACGCTAGCAAATCTGTAGGTCCTTACCATCAAAGCCTTGCTGCTATCCACAGAGACATCACAATCTAAAACATGTGGTCTTGACAACACAGCAAGAGTCAGAGATCAGTTTAGAGATCTATGAGTCAGGTGGAAATACACTCCTCTATTCTAGCCTGTTACTCTGTGTCAATAATTCACACAATTATTCTGATTGGTGGGAAAAAATGTATGAGTTTTACGTTTCAAATGAGACCAAGATCATAACTGTAGCCCAAAGTATGCAGTAACAGGGCTGCTTTTACTTTGGGGGTGCGGTTTCAGGCAAAAATGGGACAACAGTTAACAGGTTAAACAAGAGCTATCTGATTAGGATCGGTATCGGCCGATACTCAGTGTTAATATCAGTATTGGTGGTCCATGGTGTAGAACTACTGACTATACCAATGATACCAACTCAGAAAAGTGCACAGTGATGCAATTCACCACAATATGACACACATCGTCATTACTGCCCACTCCTACACCGAAGGCTAATGACATCCCGGCACTCACTCGATGACTACATAGGCTACCACAGCTGACTTTGCTAAACAGAGCTTTTATGGATTTTGGACGCTATACGTGTTCTGCTAAAAGTTAAGTGATTAGCTGATTAATGATCTGGCCTGTGCAGTGTCGTTTCTGGTAATTACATTGTGACACACCCCCCTACACTGTTAGGCGCGGTGCAAGTGGATGGTATGCAGGTCACACTTCTGATTTGCCCAATAGTGAAACAATGATGTTGGTGCACATGTGTAACATTTATAAGATAAAACATCTACTAACTGCTCAGGATCATCACATGCACACATACCAGCTTCCGCAACGTGCCTGACATCCAGTCAAACCCCAATAAACTGTTCTTTTGCATGACTCATGTGAGGAACATATGGAGAAGCCACATGACAGACTCCTGCTGAGCTTAACTGCCATGAGATTTCCAAACACACCCTTCAATCCTGCAGGGGGAAAAAAGCCTGCGAGAGAGAGCAAAGCCTGAGTGCTTTAAACAGCAATGCCTCTTCTAGTCACTCACGATGGCTCTACAAACACCGTGCACCCACACAGCCTGAGCTCCCCCACTTTAAACGCGCCAGGCTACGTTCTGCATCGCTGCTGCTTCACGTATGACGATAGTGAATCGACAGGCAACAGCTGACACCTCCTTTCATCTCTCATTCTTTTAGTCTCTTTTTTTTGAGCATATCTTCTTTATTCTGAGAGCTGGCTGAAGGGGTGAGCTCACCCTTGGGCCGACCGAGACCAGGACAGTTGATTTTGTTCACTCGTAAGTGCACACTTTCTGAAATAGGCAGGGAAAGTGAGGTGTTGAGAATGAGTTACAGCCCTGGAGTTGGAAATAATGTCAAGTGCACCAAGCCTGTGGTCCATCCCTAGAGTCCCACTAGGCTGTAGGAATTTGCACAGAATTCCTATAGGAATCGTGTTGTATATTCAAAGAATTAGTGCAGGTGAACTACAGGAAGTATTACAGGTACAAAACACATTCCTGTAGTCCAATGTTTACAGGAATTTCTACAGAATTCCTACAAGAATCTTGTTGGATATTCCAAAAATTAGTAAAGTTGAACTACAGGAAGTATTACAGGTACAAAACACATTCCTATAGTCCAAGGTTTACAGGAATTTCTACAGAATTCCTACAAGAATCTTGTTGGATATTCCAAAAATTAGTAAAGTTGAACTACAGGAAGTATTACAGGTACAAAACACATTCCTACAGTCCAAGGTTTACAGGAATTTGTACAGAATTCCTAAAATTATCTTGTTGGACATTCCAAAAATTAGTGCAGTTGAACTACAGGGTGCTACACAAGTATTACAGGTACAAAACACATTCCTGTAATTTAATTTCTACAGAATTCAATACAGTTTACTACAGGACACAAGTATCATAACATAATATAAGACTAAGAATTGCTATAACCACTATAGGTAGTGCATGTAGTGCTATAAAGACCTTGTAGCATCACTCCAGACCATTCTTTAAGGGATTTCTAAATGTTAGCTATATGTGGTGCAATGCCAAGCGTTCAACAAACTTGGATGCCACCTTTCTCACTCAAAGTGGCATCATTTCCGAGGAATGTTCTGGCTTTCCCTCTCAAGACTTCCAGCACACTATGAACTCCAGCGCTGCTTCATGCCTACAGTCTCCCAAAGACGTCGAGCCTCAGACGTTGATCAGAAACGTCTGAAATGCTTCGAAACCCAAAATGCACCACCCTGCATGGAAAAAGCTGCTCGCCCTACACCTCTCCCTCGCAAGAACACCGTAAATATAACATTCCCAGCCAAAACTAAGCAGCGACTGGCCATAAAAGGGAGCAAAGTTCACGAGAAGACGAGTAAAACGCAATGCAAACAGCACCAGATCAGCCTGGCTTGCACTGGAACGGAGCCTTAAACGCTGCTCAGTTTTTTTTTCCCCACTTAAGGCGTCGTTGGAGCGTCACTTACCGAAGGCTAAATCCAGCAGATCCGCGCACAGGAGAAAGCACAAAGACAAGGCGGTCATCTTCCCCATGTTTTGCAGTAAATCCCAAACTCCATTTGGCGTTTACATGCTCCCGCTCTCCTCTTCCCTGCGTAATCCCCACCGTGCCAAACGGGAGCGATGTGGAGGCGCCCACAGACTGACCATCGTTCACTTCAGCTTCAGCGGCAGCAGCAGGAGCGATGGGGAAGGAGAGGAAGGAGGAGTGGAGGAATAAAGCGAGGGGTCTTCTGATGGAGACGAGGAGCCAGCAGCGCCACAGCGGCAGGATTAAAACGCTGGAATCACATCAGGATGGAAATCTATGGGCTTCGGTCTGAGCTGCGCGCGCTCTGTCGCTCTCCCTCTCGCGCGCTCGCTCGCTCGCTCTCTCTCGCTCTCTCTCGCTCGCTCTCCCCGCTCGCGCTCTCTCTCCTCCTCTCTCCTCCCCTCTCTGTTTTTTTTTCTTTCTCTTTCTGCGTTCAGCACGTTCTCTTTCCTCCTGTTTCACAGTTACTCTCTCTCTTTTTTTCTCTCTGGATCTGTGTCCTTCTCTCTCTCTCTCTCTTTATGGGTCTCTATCTCTCTTTCGCCTCTGTTACTCTCTCTCTCTGTCTCTCCCCTCTCTGTTTCTAGGTCTCTCTATCTCTCGCTCTCTCTCTCTTCTATGTTTATCGGTCTCTCTGTCTCTCTCTCTCTCTCCCTTATCTATTTCTATGTCTCTCTGTCTTTCTCTCTTCTGTGTTTCACAGTCTCTGTTTCTCTTTCTGCTCTCTATTTCTGGGTCTCTATCTTTTCCTCTCTCTGTTTCTAGGTCTCTCTATCTTCTTCTACTCAATCCCCTTTTCTTTCTCTCTCTGTGTCTTTCTCTACTGCCTCTCTCTCTCTACTGTCTCTCTCTGTCTTTCTCTATTCTCTCTCTCTCTGATTCTAGGTCTCTATCTTTTTCTACTCAATCGCTCTCTCTTTCTCTCTGTGTCTTTCTCTACTGTGTCTCTATTCTCTCTCTCTCTCTCTCTCTCTCTCTCTCTCTGTTTCCTGGTCTCTATCTTTCTCTACTCCATCCCTCTCTCTTTCTCTTTCTTTACTGTCTCTCTCTTTCTCTCTCTGTTTCCGGGTCTTTCTATTTTTCTCTACTCAATCTCTCTGTCTTTCTCTATTCTCTGTCTATTCTCTCTCTCTCTGTTTCTGTGTCTCTCCATCTTTCTTTACTCAATCCCTCTCTCCCTCACCCTCTCCCTCTCTCTCCCTCTCCCTCTCTCTCTCTCTCTCTCTCTCTCTCTCTCTCTCTCTCTCGCCCTCCAGACATAGACACACACACACGCTCGCCCAGTCACTCCTGATCACTCGCTCTTTATTTCACACAATTTTCCTTAATCCCAGCCTGGCTCCAAACCCTTCCCCTCTAATTCTGTCCACTAAGCCGATTTATTTCTGCAGGATTTTGATTCCCCCCACCGCACTGAAAAGGTTTTTAAAGATCATTATAACCATATACGCGCTGCTCCTTACTCTACATTAACCACAAAGAAAGAGAGGAAAACACAGAGTATTTAATCATGACAAGAACCGCAAGAACAGCAGTGTCATCTAAGTATATTCACCCTGTATATTGTTTTCCCAGCATGCTGTGTAGCACCAAGAGTGTGCATATGTGTGTGGGCAAGAGAGGGAGATAGTGAGTGAATAGGGAATGAATGAGTAGGCGAAATAAGGACAGTAAGAAAAGCAGTTTCGTATAAATCATATAGTGAAATGCTATGGGGATCAATATTGGGTCACTTACAGACGTTTAATTATGACTGTCATAATATGCAGGTAATTTTTCTGGGCCTGAAATTCTTATTTTAGTGTAAAACCCAAGCAACATCAACATATTAGCCATTATAAAGCATCCTAATAGTGTATACTGTGTAGTCGGAGACCACTGTGCGTTTATTATACACAAACATGTACCAAACACATACATTAAAGAAAATTTGCCAAAAGCACTAAATACATATTATATATTTTTAGTGTTTACAATGTTCACCCTCTGCCTTTCTTACTGCTTCCATTCTTCTTGCTTTCAGTTTCAAAGAGATCTGCAGGGATGTTTTCCCCACTTCCAAAGTTCAGTCTTAGAAGTTGGATTTATCACCAGCAGCTTTTTTGTTTGATTTACAAATTTTCATCTTTTTTGTCTTCTTGGCGGCTACATAGCAAGATCTTCTCACAGTGAAGGGGTCACAACTCAAATATTAAGAAGAGCCATTTTGTTCTTTCAACAACCACCTTGGGAGCCAGAAAATTTGATGTCCATTTTACCATCTTGGCTGTAAACAGGTCTCAGTAGCTTGTAGCCACTTTTCTCGCATCTCCGGCAGGAAATTTTCCTCAAAAGTAGAAAAGCTTTTTGTAAAATGTCTCTCAATTTTTGACTTTTTATGAGGCTGAAGTCGCTTCTCATTAACCAGCTTCATGTTCAAATTTTCCCGTTCCACCTTAAATGGTGCCTGAGGGGCCAGAATGAAACTGCTGCACTATTTAAGGGGGAACGGGAAAATTTGAACAAGAAACTTCAGCTTCACGACTTTGGTGCTTGACAGTTTCTCGTTGCAGATCAGGAAACCAGCTGGAGTGATTATAAATATGAATAAGTCCACTCATCTCCAAATTATCAATGTTCATCTTTAATCTCTTTCTTTGCCGTTTTGTTAGCTACTAGCTAGGTGAGACTGTTGTCTGCATTGCTATGGTGACCAGCAGTCTGTGCTGATCTTCAGGGTTAAAGGGTGAATCAGCAGTTCTACATTAACACCAGAGTTTAAGACCATTTATTGTTAAACTGTGTTGAATGATCAGCAGAGCTTTATTTTACTGTAAAGGAGGATTATTTTATTTTTACCTACAAATCTGATTCTGCTGTGGAGCCACAACAGGACAATGAAAGAGCCGTATGCGGTCCCGGAGCTGCGGGTTGCCGACCCCTGACACAGTGGAAGGATGAACAGAAACACCTGTGGATTTTTTCAGATCGGAATGAAGAGTGGGGTGGATTTTCTCCTTCCAAAGCTCTCAAAAAAGCCCTGCTGTTTATCTGATGGAGACAGTTTTGTTGGTCTATGAGGTCTTGCACAGTTGTTTGGAATCTTATTTGTATTAATACTTGTTTGAATTGCGGTCCAAGAGATTGCCATGTTTTTTCATTTATTTTTCTTTGAATTTCTCCTCATTGTGCATTTTTTTTTTATCTAATATCTTCAGAAATATCTCCTGAAAAATGTATAACTTGTGCTGAGTGGCAATTTGGACTGGAAATTAAACAAATGAAGGTTTTTGTCTATTGCACAGTATTAACTACTACTAACGTTGCTACTGTTATTACCAAAATTAAAAATAACAATAAGAATGACAAACAGGATCTACATTCACAAAACTCTAAAAAAGATAAAAATGGTCGAGAAAAAAAAAAAGGCTTACCAGTACTTGCAGTTTCCACTTTCATTCAAAATAACTATGCAATGCTATTTATTCTGCTTTCTCAGGGGTTGCCAAACTTTTTCTCTCCAAGGACCCATTTTATTGACTGCATTGTGCCTGAGGACCCCCACCAACCAACAAAGAATGAAAAAAAACCTTATCCACATTAAAAATCGCTTCACTGCTGTTCTACTGCAGGAAGTCGCCCTGCATTAGCGATGTTGGTGCACTTATGTAATTGTAGGGCATAGAAGGAACTAGTCACTCAGATACATCCTGTGCTATATCTGATATGCATCTTTCCAAGGTATTATTTGACAGTGGAACACCAGCAGGTTTTTGTGCTGCCTCCTCACCCAGTAGTTCTCAGACAATATCCTTTGTTGCCGGTAATATAACGTCCTCTCAGACTCTGTGAGTGGATGGCTTCTTTGCACTGGCAAAGTGATATTATGGTAGAAGAAAGCACTTCTGTGCTCTTTCTGAGATGCTAGCCTTTTGTCAAAATGCACTAGTGCTAGAGGTAAGGGCTGTTTGCTTTTTGGAAAAGGAAATCATTTGGGTATCTTTACTTGAAAAACAAACATCAATTCCAAAAGAAGCATTTCGGGAAAGGAGCATGTTTACCTCTATGTTACATCTCCTTTCCTTAGTACAGCACTTAGTAACCATTTGAAGATTGAACACACCAGTTTATCCTGCTTTGAAAGGGAAATTTTTGCCATTTTTTTCCATATAACTCTTCGGCTATGCAGCCATGCCGTGCCTCAGTTGTTGTATCATGCATTTCATAATGCACTACAAATTTTCAGTGGAAGGCTAGTCTGGACTACAGGCAGGCCAGTGTAGCACCTTCACTCGCTGATTACGCAGCGACATGTAGAATGTGGTTTGCAGTTGTCGTGTTGAAATAAGCATGGACCTCCCTGAAAAAGATGCCATCAAGGAGGCTGCATGTTGCTCCAAAATGTCCTCCTTGTTTCTACGCTCATTGTCCATTTTATCAGCTCCACTTACTATATAGGTGCACTTTGTAGTTCTACAGTTACAGACTGTAGTCCATCTGTTTCTCTGCATACTTTGTTAGTGGTCAGGACCCCCATGGACCCTCACAGAGCAGGTACTATTTGGGTGGTGGATCATTCTCAGCACTGCAGTAACACTGATGTGGTGGTGGTGTGTTAGTGTGTGTTGTGCTGGTACGAGTGGATCAGACACAGCAGTGCTGCTGGAGTTTTTAAACACTGTGTCCACTCACTGTCCACTCTATTAGACACTCCTACCTTGTCAGTCCACCTTGTGGAGGTAAAGTCAGCTGCTGCTGCACAGTTTGTGTTGGTCATCCTCTAGTCCTTCATCAGTGGTCACAGGACGCTGCCCACAGGACGCTGTTGGCTGGATATTTTTGGTTGGTGGACTATTCCCCATCCAGCAGTGACACTGAGGTGTTTAAAAACTCCAGCAGCACTGCTGTGTCTGATCCACTCAGACCAGCGCAGCACACACTAACACACCACCACCACGTCAGTGTTACTGCAGTGCTGAGAATGATCATAATCATTCATGGTCATAATGTTATGCCTGTTCGGTGTATGTGCAGCTTACCCATGCCATTGGCACCAACAGACCTCCATAGCATGACAAGCACTGGCTTTTGAACTTTACACTGGTATGGCCCTTGTCTTGTTCGGCCCAGATATTATATGTTATATATATATATATATATATATATATATGTACATATAATATCTGGGCATATATATTATATGAACAATCCAAAAGGTTGACTCATTAGACCACAATACATGTTACTACTGTGCATAGGTCCACTAGAGGTGAGCTCGAGCCCAGAGAAGTCGGCAGAGTTTCTGGACATTCTTGACATATGGCTTCAGCTGTGCACAGTCTTGTGTTTGTG